TCTTACTGCTTTTTTCCCCCGCATTTGATCATTTTACAACCACAGCTTAAATATTTGACTGGGTTTCATGAGGCACATAACATTGATGTAGAAGTAAAATAAATTGTAATTCAAATAATTTTACTGAAGTTTCTGAAGACCATAGTTTTGAATAAAGTAAATAAAATCAAAGCTGATCTACAGTCTGTTTTGTCACCACTGCTGCTAGATGTGCACTTTACAAATACTGTTTGGAAGAATGGCAAGATGAACTCATTGTTTAAAGAAAGTTTGGCTTTCTGTTTGCAACTAAACTTAAACTTAATGGCAAAATGGAAGAAAATTAGAGCGATACTTTGCTCCTTCACACCACTACCTCCTAGTTATGACCGCATCATGCTGTAGGAATGCAATTTTACAGCCATGAGAGGGAAGCTGTTTTGATTTGATTGAAAAGTGAGCTACTCTAATTGGAGGGAACCCCTTAAGGAAACCTTAAGCCGGACATACACTCTGCAATTTTTTTGCCTTTTTTTTTTGGGACGACTTTCCAGTCCTGCGAGAATTTTCCGCGTGCCCAACAAGGACTCTTCTTCTTCTGCCTCTAAGATGAAAACACAGAAGCATGGCGGGGGTGTGGTTGAAATTGAGTTCTTTCTGTAAAATTGACAGACTGTAGTAGCCACGTTTGCTCAGCCATGTCTTTGTCCAAATACATCATCGCCTTTTCTTTTTAGGGCTTTCAGCACATAAAATTGCAAAATCGAGCAGCGAGTTTCACTCTAGTGAGCTTCATATTGCTCTTCTACTGGTTTGGCCTCCCGATTGAGAGTCTCTGTAGTGCCATCTCTGTCCGGGGCTGAGTCTGATGTGGTTTTTGGACGTGCAGTGTGAGTAGGCAGATCGGATCAGTGCGTCGGGGTGCATCGTAAGCTGTTAACTCACACTGTACAATGAAACCCCGCGGTTTCGTCGTACAGTGTGAGCTGCAGCTACGAGCAATGACTGAAAAAAAATCTTACAGTGTATGCCCGGCTTTAAAGGCTGCAAAACATTTCAGAGTGGGGTCATGGTCTTTAATTGAAATGCTATAGGTCAGGCATAGGCAACTTCGGTCCTCAAGTGCAACTGACCTTCAGCTTTTGCACGCATCTAACCCAACACTCCTGAAACATCGAAAGATTAAAGGCCAATGGTCTGCTAAACTTACCAACATGCAGAGGAGATAATTGGTGTTTTGTTTCAGGTGTGTTGGAGCAGGAATGCATGCAAAAGCTGCTGGACAGTGGCAGTCTAAAACTGAAGTTGCATACAGCTGTTTTAAATCAAAGCATATGTCTTTGTTTGCTCGTAGAATGGCCAAGCCAAAGTCAAGAATATCACCAAGTTTTGAATGCTCTGCATGTATAAATTGTTTTAGAACTATCCCATGTTAATTTGTTCTTCTGGCATATTTAGTGTAAACTGTTATTTTGTGAACATTTGCATAAAAAAATAGTGCAAATTGCAACGTGGGTTATAAGGCCTTTTTCATAGTTATTGCAGAAGCTAAACTATATACGTACACTGCATGTAAAGAATTTAGTGCTGCTGACAGGTAAAGATTATTTTTATTTCAGTTCTCTTAGACACTTTGAGGGGGAAAAAAAGGAAATGTCAAAGCACTCGAAACGACAAAGCAGCTGGGAAGGAAAACGGACTATAAGGGAGCAATTCAGTGAGAGAACAGCCGGTGGGTGGGCGGGAGCTAAGGGAGGTGGGCTGACGCAGCAAAATCCACCTGTTCTCATCGCTCTCCCAGCTTCCCCTCCTCAGCTCCTTCCTGCTCCTCCTCCCCTTCCCCAGCCCTGCGCCCTTCTCAAACTGCGGCAGTCAGCTAATTAAAAAACACAGTTGTCCTTAATTATTCAGCGGCCGGCTAATTGATATTCACAGAGGCGATCACCGAGCCTAAACGATCCGTTTAATCTGACCACCACGGTCTCACTTTCAACCATGTGTCACCTCCAGCCATTTGCGCTACTGTACTTAATGCAAGAGGGAATAAGATCAAATGTTTGTCGATGTTAATATGGATTCCTGGGCTATAAGAAGAAATAGCAAGCTCCTTTAAAATGTGTATTCAGTGGGATATTTTTTTTCTTTTTGTGGTAACTCAGTATATCAAGTTTCTGTCAACTTTAATGAGAATAGTACAACTGTTTATCTTTTGTACTCTGATCTTTTTTTAAAGAGATTTAAAATCCTACATTATTCATATCACAGCTTTTACATTTTCACATATATACATTTTATCAGGTTACATCCACCAAGGTTACATCCGCTAACAGAAAAGCAGTTTTTAACATTTCTACAAGTGAAAATACAGAAAATGTGGAACATATTTGTATTCAGTTGAGCTCGGGACATGTTTCATTTTGATTACCTTGTTTTTTTTTTAACTTCCTTAGAAGAGCAGCTAAAGATAAAATGAATTGGTTTTACTTTTCTGTAGTCTTAGAAGCTTGTAACAGGTTGTCAGTTGGATTTAGTTAACAGTGCAATTCTAACATCCTGCTGGATGGTTAAAACTCACTAAAAGGTTTCCCCCTACTATTGCGCTATTTAGCTTTATATATCCTTTTATCTCCCAACATCTGTTACTGCTAAGGAAAGTCATCCCCAGGTCACAGCACTGCCAACCACTACCTGAAATGTAGATTTCTTATACTTCTTTGCATCTATGACTAAAATTTGAAATTTGGCCCTAACAATTCCCCCCCCTTTTTTTTTTTCCACAATTGACAGTTGGGTTCAGTTTTGTTCTAAAGGCTTTCCTGTGAATATATCTCCCAAAATGAGCTTTTGAGACCTTTAGTACTTTCAGAGTTCCTGCAAAAACATAGGATTCTACTCTCTATGACCGGTTCTATGTACACACAATCTTAATTTACCATATCCAGTTCTTTGTGTGTTCTTCACAGTCTGAAATATTATTAATCAGACCGTAAGTGTACACCTTGGAACACATTATGGTGTTTATTCACTTATCCTCTCTAATAAACCTCTAAAGACTTTGCATAACAGCTGAATTTGTACTTGATGTGCATACAAGTGGATTATAATTATAAACAAATTAAAAAAGGTGTTCGTTTCCAACTGATTTTATTTGTCAAAATAAAGGTGGTAGGAAAAAAGCATATTCGAAAACTTTTTATTTTTATTTCACAAATTTCCAATGAAATGTGCAAAGTTTCTGCTTGTAATGGGACACATTCTGTTGCTACCAACTGTAAAGGCCCCAGGTCTCTGTTTCTGACAGCCCCATAAACAAAGCACATTTTACCCTTTCCTTTTATGTCTTTTGGTCTCTTAAGTTCATTTCCATTATTTTGCTTCTTCCTTCCCCCCCAACCTTTACTGAAGCTCTCCTCCTCCACTAGCATCCACCTCTTTTTTCGGGGAACAAAAGGTGTATGGTCAGGGCTGAAGTCTGTCCCATTGTCTGGCCCTCAGTGTGATTAGATTATCTTTTAACTCTGCTGAATGGGATTAATCAATAAGAAATAATCCCGACATAATGTGTGTCGGTCTGGGCCTGTGTGTCGTCAAAGAGGAGGGTCAAACCGCCTGCATGGAAATTGAACACATGCACTGCAGCATGTACATATAGACACTCGCATTGACTCTGACAAAAGTGAATTAAAAAAAGAAATCCCTTGGTACACATTTCTGTCACAACCTCTCCTGTTTTAATGAGGCCTTTAGTCGCCCTTTCAGCACACATTTATCTCTCAGCCCGCTCTCTGTGGGCACAGCTGCTCAGGCTGCTGTGTGTGCACGTGGTGATTTGTGTTCTGCAGATCAGCGTCTGAGCTTTTTGTTTGCGTCGCAGCATCTGCGTTTTGCCTTTTGCTGCAAAATCTGCACTTGCCAGTAATACACTGAGTTTAGACACACTCATGACCAATTCTACCCCTTTTCTCATTACTCCTTCTTTCTCCTAAGGCTAAATTGAGCTGTTTGGGGGAAGACAGTTTTGTGGAACCTTTGCAGTGTAATCCAGACATTTGAGAACTTTTCCATCCTCTCCTAGAGGCAGTGTCGCAGGCTCAGAATCGATAACAGCTTCTTTCTACTGCAGTAACTCCATAATTTTTAAGGTATACTTCAGGGCACATTCAGCCAGCACTATGATTGTGGTATAACTTTAAAGTTATTTTATTGTGCTCCAGATAAACAAAACTCTAGCTATAAGGGGTCCAAATAGAGAGCACAGTTTGACCAAAGCAATAAAGCTAGCTAATGTTGGGTCGTTTTGAGGGCACATTGGAGACCTCCATTCTGCAGTTGTTTTCCACAGTATTGTCTTGTGTGTGATAAAGCGTTACCCTGGAGTTAGTTTTATTCACTGTCTGGCACCATAATGAAGGTGTGTGACTTTGTGGTGATGTTTTCTGTCTCGGTTGTATAAGCGAGTTTGGAGTATCCCCTTGACTTTGAAACTTCCCCCACTCATCTCATGTGACGAACGCTCCTCCCTGAGACTCCTCATCACAATACATGCAGCATACCGTTTCGCCTGAAGTGTGTTGAGTAGCTACACTCAGATGGTTATCAGTGTAGTGAAGATTGGATGGGCTAAGGCAATTTTTATATATATAGTATTTTTTTGTTGCTCTATTCCCAAGCTTCCTATAGTGTTCAAACTCAGAGCTTCAAGGCTGCACCTCAGTGACTGTTTTCCACAAACAAAACTGTTCTGCAGTAATCTTGTGTACAACTGTAAATAGCCATACATTGTAGGAATGCATTAACAGTTTCTGGTTGCATAGCACACATGTATTAAGAGTGCATGCAGAGGTTTGTGTATTTGCCAGTGATGGTGTAAACTTGAAGGATGAAGTATGAGCATTGAAGCAGAACAGGGTGGCAGCTCGTCACCCCTGACATTTGAATACTAAACCTTTTCCAAATGTCACTTTGAAGAAAAGAATAAATCAATGTCTACTTACTCTTTTTTCAATGCCTGCCTTATTCAGGAACTTGAGCAGAAGGTGAGTCTTTTTTTCTTCTATATTACTTCCAGTTTGTTTGATTTGATGCATTTTCTACCTCTGTCAGAGCTACTTTTATAGTTAGTTTGTTAGTTTGCTCTTACGGCTTGGTTAAACTTGGCTGGTAGGCTAATCTTTTATCTTGTAATACTGTTTTGACTGGTTAATGTTTCGATTAGTCTTTGGAGCCTCCACCGGGTGATGTTTTTTTCCCTGTGAGAGGTGATACATCAGGTCTTATCTGTGCTGTATGTCGCAGAGAAAGTCAGGCGTACATTTAGTGAAGGTCACAGTGGATGGGAGGACAGCAAAGATAGGTAGCTTAGGTAAACCTATATGGCAGAACAGAATACATGTTTGCCCTGAAAAAGTGATGCTATCTTCTTGTCCTGATAGTTTGGCTGAAGAGCAAGCACAAGAACCTGCCAAGGCTCCATCACGCTTGTATTTAAAAAACTTGTGTGTATTTTCTGCACATCAACTTTTAAGTTATGCACATATTTCTGTCTGCATATTCCTGATTGAATGTAGAATTGCATCTTTATAAATTTTTATACCACTGAATAGTTCCTTTATTTCAATAATCCATTAAAGTGCATTTAGAATCACCACACACAGTATTTAAAACTTTTACATCAGTTAGTTTTGATGTAAACACAAATTTTCATTTCTCTGAAAGCCTATATATTATGATCAAACATTATACATTATTTTATTTTTCACAAGAATCTCGGCATGCTAACAAATATCTTCTTTAACGGTGCAGCTTTTTTACTCTTAATATTTGTGCAGAACCTCTTTTATATATTACTGCATTTATATGACATAGAGGCACTTGGTCTGATTCATGGCTACAGTGTTAAGGAAGCTGGGGTTGCTGTCATGACTTTTTTTTTTTTTTGAAAGGCCAGGTTGCTAATAAAGCTCAATGATATCAGGGTTCTAAATCATGATGGAAATTAAAATCAGCATTTACTTGAGGCTAAGTAGAAGAGTACAGTGCTAAACTTTCCTGGTAAATGGTGCATAGTTAGTAGACTTTGAGGCCGATAGAATACAGTGGACCACCATCAGCGTTGGGCATCGTCACTGATACTGACTTTGGTAGTTTCCCAAAGAACCTTAAACAATCTAAGTTAAGGGCTCTTCCTCATTCTGAAACCTTGATATTCTAATGGAAAGTGTTTTAAAATACGAAACTGGTCTTGTCGATATTAAACAGTATGAGTTGTAGTGTGTTTGTTACATCTGTCTTGAGTCAGCTTTTAATGCTAATGAGTCCAGCTGCAGTCTATGATTCTAGAATCTTCCCCAAACTCATAAATATGCTTTGCTTCAACACAATGGGTATCCCTGTTGCTTCGGCACCTTTTTCATTCTAATTTATTTGCCTAGATACAGCACTCTCTGAAATGCCAGCATCTTTAGAAATGACCTTTTATGTCTTTGTTTCTTATAGAGCTTGTAAAGGATTGTCTTAACTGTAAAGTTAAATCATCCCAATGATTGGGTTTTGTGTCCAGGACATGTCTGGGTTAAAATAATTATTTCATTTGCTTTTTAAATGTATCTACTGGGATAAATGAACAATGTTTCCTCTCTTTCTGTGTTTAGGCCAAACAGCTAGAGGCAAGAGAAGCAGATCTGAAGAAGCAGGATGCGTTTTACCGGGAGCAGGTGGCCCGACTGGAGGAAAGGGTAAGGAAAACTACATTTTGTAAAACATTTAAAGTATGTAATGTAAAATTTGTATTTTTTTTCTCAGCTATTCTCCAATTTCTTTAGAAAAATTAGCGTAAAGTATTGTCCTTATGATCTACATTTAAAAGCTGTTTAAAAGCAAACTCTTAGTTTGCAATGAAAAGATAATTTTTTCACTGCCGTTAGCCCTTATTATTTTCTTGTGCTTGAAGGCTAGATTAAATATTCATCCCTTTCTGTTCCTGAAAGTGACGATACCCTGATTTTCCTTGGCATACTGGTGTCCCATAGACTGGGACATGGGTCAGCTGTCATGCTTTCCACGCTTCAGATGACAGCACTGAACTGGTCCCTGTGAGAGACTGCCGCAAGGCAGGGGCCCAGGGTCAAATGCCCCGTTAAAGCGCACTTAGAAAGGATGCCTTCATGCACCTCTGTTATCATAAGTGTCTTAGTAAAGATATAATGCCCTTTTTAATGTGCTTAAAATTATACACTCATGCCTGGAAAGAGTGTTCTCTTCTTTGGAGGGTGAAAAAGTCAAACGTTCCCCATAGGGGAAGCCAGATGGAAATTATACACTTGCAAAGACGTTGTGGAAGAGATTCATTAGCATATTACTATCATTGTAACCCATTATAAATCTAAGGACTGTAAAATTGTTCTTAGTATCCAAATTTCTCAGTTTCAAAAATGTTATATGATGCCATATGTTTTCACACTCTTTCGAACTATCAAACTATTTTTGATACTTTTGTTTCCCTTCGCTTTCTGAGCAATCATTCCATACTTCATGTCATTGAAGAGAACTAGATTTATTTATTTTTGCTGAATACCAAAATAAGGAAGAGAGCTTTGAGGGAATTTTTTTTCTTAAATGTGAAATCTAAGTACATTGCCTTAGTTAAACTAAGTGGCTTGAATGATATGTTTAAGATGTCTTTAAACCAGCTTTTAGCAAAAGTTTACTGGGGTTTTGCCTATTTCTTTTACGTAATAGAAGTGGTGTTCTTGGATGCAGTGCTCGCAAAAATCTTTTCAGCTCTGCTCATAAATGAGGCTGAGATGAAGGCTTTTTGTCCATCTTCAAACCCGTTGTCCTTTTTAGCCACTACTTCAAACGTATATTTGGTAATTTTCCATGAAGGAAAAAAAAAAGAATATTTCATCCTGTTACATTAAGATGCTGCTTGATTATTTTTTCCCATATTTTTTTTTCTTTTTTGCTCATAATTTTATCAGTTTTAGAAGTCCACAAGTGCCCTATAAAAAAAATGGCAACATAGCTGTGCTACCTCATATTCAGCAGTTGTGGTGTACTTCAGAGGTTTGCATTTTCCTACAGAAGTATTTTCACAGGGGATTAAGTTTTCAACAGGATTGATAAACATTTTGCATCATGTTTTAGACACACAACCTCTCTCCTTTCATATTAACTTTTTTATTTATTTTATTATTTTCCATGGAAGTTATATGAAAGGATGAACCAGACCTTATGTAAATCCACGTTTCTTTCTTCATATCTTGGTTGACATCTTTTATTTTGTTCATGCTGCTTCCCCATGATGCAATTAAATTATCATTGAAGTTCCTAAGACTGATTAAATATTGGCGTATGTAAGCATTAGACAGTAATAAATAATGGATCCCTTAAAATATCTAATTATTTCGGTGTTATTGAAAAATAAACATACTTTTTGTAATCGTGATAGATCTGAATAGGTGAGGAAAGCTTATTTTTACTATACAGTATTTCAATATCTGGTCTAAAATGTATGTGCACACATCTTTAAGCAAGGCCTTGAATAAAAGATTTTTTTCTCATGCAGTCAAACATATCAATTAAGCTTAATTTCTTAAAGTATTAACTGGTTATTGCACATTATGAGCAAGGTATTTTGCAATCACTGATCATGGAGATTTTCTTTTTTATCTCTTTAGATTACATCAGGCTATAACTCTGACCCAAAGAGTCTGATGAAATATTTTTTATAAGCCACTTTCATTTTGAATTGTCAGTGATTCATCCATAAATCCAAGCTTGACTCTTTTACCAACACGTATGGGGTTATTACATCACATCTTACTGTTAAGCACACAGGAGCTCATTTGGTGCAGATAGTAAAAGTGATGAGTCCCAATAAGTGCAGACGATATTGACTTTAAGCACTAGCCATCCATCAGCCACGTTGGCCTCTGGTCAATATCCCTTAGATCAAAGTGTCAACAAAACACCTTCACACATCAGAGAGAAACACGAGATTGAAAAAGAGGGAGAGAGGAAAAAAAGACAGAGAGGAATGGATTGACAAGTTTGAAAGGTTTAAAAAAATGGAGAGAAGTGGAGTCTCAACTCGAGGAAAGACATGAAAGATAAAGAAACCGGATGGCAGGAGACAAACTGGAATCCAAAGATTCCTACTGAAACTATATATTAAGTTGAAGTGACATTCATGTAAAAATATAGAAAAATACAGATATGCACAGTATGAAAAGTCACAAATGATACAAATTATGACATCTTTGAGAAAAGGATGGAAAACTTTTTATTGCAGTGTAAAACTAGCTGCATCATTTATTAATGTACAGAAAAACAATAACTCATACATTTATTTCAAAGCCATTTGGACCATGAAATCTTTACTGAAATCTTTTTTATTGGGTCAGGACATTAGTGAAACCATAATAATCCTGTTAAAGTAATGAGCAACACTGTCCATGTTGTCCCTGTGATTCTGTGAGGGACTTGTATTCGGTTAATTTTGTTTGGACTGATAATGATTCTTCTTTTCTTTGGCCTCATTGCCCTCTTTTTCCACCACTAGTCTGGCTTAAAATAATTTATCACAAGCTGTTTCACTGTACCAACTGTAACCCCTGAAAATGACGGAGTGCACAAAATGTTTAGGAATATCCTTAAACATTGACGTCAGCTCATTAATCTAGTGCTTGTAATTTTAAACCAGCATGAGGGCATTGAAGTAGCTGCAGTTTAAATCTAAATTCAGGGTAAAGGGATTCGAGTCAAACTTTTTTCTCTTTTTTTTTTGTGGTAATGTGGGGTGATTTATCACCACCATAAAAATCACTGACTCGTTAATACTTCATATGTACCACATCAGCATGTAATTATTTAACATAAAGCAAGGATGATCGTTAGTTTGGGGAGGAGGCTCTGATGGAGCTTGCTGCTAAACAGCAGGAAGGTTATTTAAATACAGCATGTTTTAAAACTAATTAATTAATTAATTAATTAATTAAAAATGATTAATAAGTAATTTTACTGTATGGGGCACTATTGTATTTTTTTATTTTTTGTTACACTAGCCCTAAAGTAGTTTCTCCTAATCGAGCTGGAAATAGTAGCATGCATACAGCTAACATCCTTCCATAAGCAATGGATATGATGCAGGCGAGTGGACAGAGATTGCTGGTCGGCCCTGTCCCTAAAATTTGGCTAGCTGGGCCAAATGGTCAATTACTCCAGAAAGTAAAATCTGTCCTTAGTTACTGTCACAGCTCAAAACGGGAAACCCAGTATTCAGACAGACAGCATGATATTTCAAAAAACGTTTATTTAAAAATGACAGATCTGCAGTGAACAGCTAGGGAGTCTAAGGCAGGAACCTCTGGTCTTAAAGTTCAGTCTGTACCCAGAGGATGAGGTAGATCCCAATCGGTAGGATGTCAGCAAGAAGCAGTGAATGCTGCCTAGAGAGTCCCAGACGTTGAATCCCTAAAGAACAGGCAGGAGATCATATCCAAGCAGACGAAGGAAGGCATGATAATACAGAGGACAAATCCAAAGCTGGTATTGAGGAGATTCACAGGAGTCCGGGCCAGGACAAGATCGGAGATCCGAATAGGTACCAAAGCGAAATCCAGGATGGTGTTAGGAAGTTGTTCCAGGTTCAGGAGTCTGAGGACAGGTCAGGCAAACAGATCAGAACGGAAACAGGCAGGCTCAGTGGTCCAAAGGCAGAACGGGTCAGGTTCAGACAATCAGAAAACACTAATGCACACTAGAAGACTCTCACCAAGGCTCGAATAAACTGGCACTGATGACTGGAAGAAGGCAAGTTAAATAGAGACTTGAACAGGTGGAACAGATAAGCGGTAATGAGAAACTGGGCAGAGCTAAACAGGTGAATAAAATGAACAATCAAGCCAGTCATCAGCGCCAAGATCATGACAATTACAGAATGTCTTAGAGATAACTGTCCATCAGCACATCAACAAGTCAGCTGATATTTCTTTCGGATCAAAGATGCTTCCAGTTACTGCAACTAAGCAACTAATTGAACAAACCTAAAATTCATCACTCACATTTGTCTAGTCATTTTCGGTTCCAATCTCTTTAAAAGCCTGAATCTCTTGCTTTGAAAATGCAACATACAGGTGCTGGTCATAAAATTAGAATATCATGAAAAAGTAGATTGATTTCAGTAATTCCATTTAAAAAGTGAAACTTGTATATTATATTCATACATTACATACAAACTCATATATTTCAGATGTTTATTTTGTTTAATTTTGATGATTACAAATGACAACAAATGAAAATCTCAAATTCATCATATCAGAAAATTAGAATATTACTGAAGACCAATAAAAACAAAGGATTTATAGAAATGTTGGCCAACTGAAAAGTATGAACATGAAAAGTATGAGCATGTACAGCACTCAGTATTTAGTTGGGCCTCCTTTGGCCTGTATTACTGCAGCAATGCGGCGTGGCATGGAGTCGATCAGTCTGTGGCACTGCTCAGGTGTTATGATAGCCCAGGTTGCTCTAATAGTGGCTTTTAGCTCTTCTGAATTGTTGGGTCTGGTGTATTGCATCTTCTTCTTCACAATACCCCATAGATTTTCTATGGGGTTAAGGTCAGGAGAGTTTGCTGGCCAATTAAGAACAGGGATACCATGGTCCTTCAACCAGGTACTGGTAGCTTTGGCACTGTGTGCAGGTGCCAAGTCCTGTTGGAAAATGAAATCTG